GTGCCCCCACAGCCCTGTGCGGCTTGTGAGAGCCAGTTCTAGGCATCTCTTCCCCACTCTTTGTTCAGTGATGCCAGGTGGATAACACGGTCTGCCATATGAGGGTGTTTACACTCTGGGTAGCAAATGCACTGTAACTCTAGACTGTTTTCCCCAGGGAGCCGGCTGTCACTAGCACTCTGTTGTCGGCATGTTCCTCCCCATCAGCAGTTGACCTTGCCTGGGTTCACAAAGTGCTGGAGTTGCTGCCGGTGCTGAAGTTGCTGCTGCTGCTGCTGCTGCCTCCCGCCCACTGTCGGGCCTCCCAAGGCAGAACTGGGGCTTCCCCGGGCCCACCCCCTCCTCTGTGCAGTGTTTCGGCCCATGGTCCTAGAACCGTCTCCAGGTGTGCCCTCCTGCCCTTTTTTGGGTCTTTCTACTCTTGACCTCCCAGATGTTTTACTTTTGGTATGGAAGTGGGATTGTTTGCAGGCTGTAATTCAGAGTCACTTTAAAACGTCTTATAAAAAGGGCCCGAGAAATGCATAAACAAGGATGGTGGGGAAAGAACCCACCTCCTCAGGAAGGTTAGAGCCGAGATAGGGGTGTTAGAGCTGGGACGGTGGGGGAGTTACAGCCCGGACGCGGGGGGCTTACAGCCAGGACTGGGGCGGTTAGAGCCGGGATGGGGCGGTTAGAGCCGGGATGGGGGGGGTGGTTAAAGCCAGGATGGGGTGTTTATAGCCAGGATGAGGGCAGCTTACAGCCAGGACAGGGGTGGTTAGGGCCGGGACGGAGGAGTTAGAGCGAGGATCGGGGGTTCAGAGCTGGAACGGGGTTGTTAGAGCTGGGATACGGGTAGAGTTTGGATAGGGGTATTAGAGCCGGGATAGAGGCAGAGGCCCTGGCAGGAATTTGAGGCAGGGATGGAGTGTGCCAGGCCTTCTGCCTCTCAGGGGTACTAAGCTTGGTGGCAAACATCTGCGGCTGATTTCTAGGAAGCCATAATAGTAATTTTCTTTGCTCACCTCCTCTGCCCTTATCATGATTAGCATCTTTTTAACCCGACTTCCAAAAAACATGTGTAAAGCCAAACCTAGCTCTTAGTAGCTGAGTATCAGCTTCAGGCACTGCTGGATCCGGGGGCTTAAAATGATGTCACGGGAAAATGGTCTCTCTCCGCACTGGCAATTCTGACCATCCTCTCCGGGGGTGTCTTCCTGTGGGCTGGCAGATCCAGGCTCACTTCCAGCCTCCAGGAAACCCTGTGAAAGGAAAGCTGCCTCTTCTAAGGTGAACAAAAGTCCCCCTGCTTGGGGTTGGGTGCTAGGCTCATGCCTGGAGCTGTGGAATTAGGGGTCCAGCCCCACATGATGGGAGGAAAAGCATGTTCCCAGGAAAGAGCCTGGGTACCATTGCTTAGCGGGAGAAACAGAGGCTGTGTGACAGGCACAGTGGATGTTCATAGAAGCCACGAGCCAGGGACGAAGCTGGGGCCTCGGCCCAGGGCCACCGGTGTCAGAGTCTGTCACTGCCTTGGGGGGTGATGGTCAGTGGATATGGGAGCCGGCTGGCCAGCACCAGTAGCCTGGTGAGGAGGAGAGCAGCCGCCCAGCTTCCCTCTGCTCTTTGTGAGAGAAATGGATTCTACAGACGAGTCCTGGTGTGACTGTGGTCAGCACACAGCTTCACGGAAATTATTGCTGGTCTCTGACTCCTTCGTACGGGGCACCTTGGCACGCTCGGGTGTCCTCTGTCCCCGCAGTGAGGCCCCTTCCTCCTTCCCACCCTCTGAGGCCACTCTCCATCTCTCGCCTCCTTTGCCAGCCAAACCTCCGAAAGGTGGGAAAAAAGGTCACCTTCCACTTTCTTTACCGTCCGGGGCCCTGTGTCTTCCTCCCTTCACCACCTACCCCGGAACAATCTTAGCGGTACTGGCCTCTGAGGGTCAGGAATGACCGTCCCGCCTCCATGCCTAGCCACACGCTGCAGGTGGCCTTGTCTCCTCCCGTGTCTTACACGCTCAGCTGAAAGGGGGCTTATCCCAGGAAGCCTTCCCCGTCGGCCCCATCCGTGGGCCAGTAACAGGCCCTAGTCTGTTGCGAACCAGGCTGCACAGCAGGACGTAGGTGGCCGATGAGCGAGCATGACCACCCGAGCAGAGCGTTCAGTTCTCATCTGAGCGCAAACCTGTTGTCAACTGCATGTGCAAGGGGTCTAGGCTGTGCACTCCTTGTGAGAATCTAAGGGCTAGAGATCTGAAGTAGAAAGTTTCATCCCAAAACCATCCCCCGCCACCCCACTTACCCCAAACCCCTGGTCTGTGGAAAAACTGTCTTCCACAAAACCGGTCCCTAGTGCCAAAAACTGGTCCTGGGGACCACTGTCTTAAAGGACTCTGGGACCTTGTTTTTTTTCTGTCTGCTCCTTCCCACCAGCCCACACTGGATCCTAAATCCAGATAGACATGTGCATTTGCAAGAGACAGTTTTCTAAATCTGTAGAGAGGTTGAAAGAACAATGAATGTCCATGTACTCTCTGCCCGTATTCACTCATAGTTAATATAACCAAGTATGTATTTGTGTTATTAGCTCAGTAGAAGCTTTGGAAACCCATAAGATTAGTCATTTTTGTAAGGGCATATGGAATATGAAACCCTGTAACAATGAGAGCCTGGAATTTGTCCTCTTTGAGAACAGGCCTTACCTTTGCACATTTCGGCATTAGTCATAAAAATCTAGACTGATGCGGCCGGGTGTGGTGGCTCATGCCTGTAGCCCCAGCACATTGTGGGGCTGAGGTGGGTGGATCGCAAGGTCAAGAGATCAAACCCATTCTGGCCAAAATGGTGGAGCCCCGTCTCTATTAAAAATACAAAAATGAGCTGGGTGTGGGGCATGCCTGTAGTCCCAGCTACTTGGGAGGCTGAGGCAGGAGAATCACTTGAACCTAGGAGGCAGAGGTTGTAGTGAGCCAAGATCACACCACTGCCCTCCAAACTGGTGACAGAGTGAGATTCTGTCTCAAAAAATGAAAAACCTAGACTGATGCTACAGCCTAAAGAAACGGGGGCTGAAAATTGCCAGGATGGTGAATGCAGTGGCATTGGTCTGCTGGATGCAGGTCTCCACTCTCCAGCTGAATGGCCTTGTGGGTTTGGGCAAGGTGTTTAGCTTCTCTGTGCCCGCATTGCCTTGCCCCTGAAGGGAAGACTGCAGGGGGTCGTCGAGAAGATGAAGAGGGTCAGAGTGTATGAAGGAGCCAGCCTAAAGAGTGTGCTGCTTAAATGGCGGTTTGCGGATGGTGGCAGAAGAAGAGAACAGGGAGGAAGCTGGGCGTCCCACCCTCCTCACCGCCTTTCACAGCCGGGACGTTTCAGCTGTGGGAAGGGAAACAGAGTCGGCTCCAAGCGGTAGGACTTTCCCTTTCCTGAGCTGTCCCTGGAGTCCTGTAATCCTCAGCCTCTCACAGCCGCCCTGGATACGAGACCCCACTGGAAGCCGCTCTGCTGGAAAGTTCCTAGAAGTGAGGAACCTGTTTCTCTTGGCAGCTCCTCTAACGAGAAGTCCTGAGCGTATGTCTCCTCCGCGTTGGCCGGGAGCAAGCACTGGGCCCGTAACATCCTGGAGACGGGGGCTGAGGCCGGTGGACCCCCGGTGTCCCTTTGCTGCTTGTGGCCTGGCCCAGCCTGAGGCTGATGAATTCAGCTGTAACCAAAACCCCTTTTGGGTTTCAACTCCCGTTTTCCAAAATCAGTATCAAATGTTGCCGTTTTATTTCTGGCTTCAGTAAGCAGAGAATCATGAATGCAACAGGATCGGGTTTCATTGATTATAGGCTGAGGAGGGTCCCAAGGGGAGAGATGGAGATGAGTTTGGGGTGTCCGTGGGGCTCTGGCTGCCTCTGCAGGGAGAGAGGGCATAGGACTGAGGGTGCCCCGGAGGTCCCATTTTTGGAAATGACACAGGCTGGCTATCACCTCTTGTCATCTGCCACCTTCTAAAATGCCAGAATAGATTTTAGTTCCTTGGGATTTTTTTTTTCCTAGATGACAACCACAACAAACTAGAGTGTCACTGCAGATCACTGTCCTCATGAGAATGACGTGGTCTTCACCCCTAAGTGGGAGGACACAGGAAACGTCCTAGCGAGCACCTCGGAAAATAATCAGTATGTGGCTCATGTGGAAAACCAAGCGAGCACCTCAGAAAATAATCAGTACGTGGCTCTTGTGGAAAACCAAGTTTCTGCTTACGGCCAATCAGCAGCACGTTGATTCTCAGCCTCTCTGGAACACAGATCGTCCCTGGTAGAGAAGGCGGTGAGCAAACATGAGAACCTGAAACCCACAGAGCTAGGGTGTGAGAGCGCCCCTGCCCTGCCACGCTCCACCCCCAGCCACCACTCGCCCACAGCTGCCGAGTGTGACCACCGCATCTGTGGGCGGCTAGGGTTTCCAAACATTCATGCTTAATGGAGTCATGGGTGTTGATTGAAGGAACGTCCACCGTAGTCATGTGGGGATATGAAATCCTGAAGAGGTGCTGGAGTCAGCTGCTCTCCGTAGAGAGCCCCACATAGGTAATAGGAAGGGCAACTGCTGAGTTTTGCTAAAGCAGCAAAACCTATTTTGTAGCCTAGGACACATGAAAATGGAATGAATTCATCAGGCAGAAAACCGTCTACCGGGTAAGTTTAGCGAAATGAAATCAGGCTGTGGTCACCTCCAGTCCCTGCCCCTCCACCCCAACCCCAGCTATCTGAGTTGGTTTTGAGACAGGAGCCCAGGCCGGAAGGTGCTCTCCCTGGGGGTTCTGTGGGTCTGTAGCTCTGTGCTCCCCGCGATCCAGGCTTTTGTTCTCAGTACACAGAGTGTTCCCCTTCTCTCGCTTCAGGCCTCCATCCTCCCTGTGGAAGGGGAGACCTCTGCCACACTCAGGGGCCGCAGATTCCCTTTAAAGACAGACTGGATCCCCCTATCCCCAGCCCCTTGATTCTTTGGTCTTAATTTGCTTTCCAGCTCTCAAAGACTCTGGTAAGGGATCCATCAACAGTGACTGGAAGATAGAGCTCCCCGGAGAGTTCCAGATTGCAGGCACAACTGTCCGCTACGTGAGAAGGGGGCTGTGGGAGAAGATTTCTGCCAAGGGACCAACCAAACTACCGCTGCACTTGATGGTAACTTGCTGGGCTCCTGCACTCGTCTTCGGGTTGCTGATTCTGAGGTCCACCAGGTCACTTTCTAGTTGACTTGTTCCTGGGGCCTTGGGGACAGGAGATGCATCCGGCTTCCAGGGGTCCCTGCTGCTCAGTCCCCTCCCCTCTCTGAGTCTTTTCTTTTCCCTTGCACCCCCTGCTTCAGAATTCTCTTGTTGCTTCTCCTGGCTCTTCCCTGGCAGAGTTCCTATCTCTTTCAAAAGGAGCTGCCTCAAAGAAGGAAATGCTTAGCCACGTGGATGGCAGCCAGGGAGACTTGGCCTCATTGAGAGACAGCCCCACTCAGTCTCTGTTTACATCGGGTGGTGGGATGCATAGACCTGCCCTCACAGAGTGTATATCGTTACCTTTTGGAAATGAACTTGGACTCTGTGTCCAAACCAGCATCCCTCAGATTTCACAGACCCAGCTTGCAACGAGCGTTTGGGGATCAGGAAGCAGGATTAGATGATGCAGGTATTCTACTACACAGGTAATCTCCAGACGCCTGTGTGCTGCTGGGCCAGGCCAGGGTGCCATCGTCTGATCTGTTGTCTTAGGGAGGCCTCCATGCAAGCCACTGAAACATAAGTGACATAGCCTTTTAAACATGTCAGAAGAGACGTTTTTCTCCAGAGAGCGGAACATGCTGCTTCCTTCTCAAGATCCGGGAGTTCTCGTGACTAACTTCTGATAGCTCATCATTACTGATTCCGTGTCTCCTTCCCAAAAAAACAGGACTGTGGCTGCTTGTGCCCCTGCAATCAAAGCACACTTTGTCCCTCAGTGCCTGCCAGGGTCTCTCCATGGAAGTTCTTCTTCCCCATTAATTTGTGATCTCTGGCAGCCTTCAAGTGTTCCAGGTTAGTTGACACCCAAAAGATATTCTGGCCATTGCCCAGGGAGTGTCCTAAGGAGGCTGGCACCCAGGATGCTAGTGATGTTAACCCCATTACAATTTCTGGGGGGAAAAAGTCAAGGCAGTTTCCATGTACAATCTAAAGCATGTGGAAATCTGCCACCGTACCGCTCACCCTGCTAAATCCACTGCAAATACGTTCCTGCAAGTAGGTTGCTGAGACCCAAGAATGTGTGCCTAAGTCATTTCTCAGAGATAAGATTGCCTCCTTCATTGTCACAGTCAGGACAAATCCTCCCGTTCCAGGTTAATCGCAGTCACTTAGAGGGACTAAGGGAGGAGGCAGAACATAAAATCTGTGCGGAAACTTTGTGAGCCTGAGAATTTGCTTTCTCTAGCAAACAGCAGGGTGAGTGTATTTTCTTTTCTCCAAATGCTTTTGTAAACTGAGCAAGTCGTTAGCCCATTCCAGTGAAGTACACAGCCTGGATTCATTCAGACCAGGAGAAACAAAACTCCAAGAAAGCAACTGCTGCCGCGAGTGAAGTTTCAGCCCTCGCTTAATATTGATGGCTTTTCTCCCTAAATGTGACTGTCGTTTCAAGATTTTAAAACTGAAAATGAGAGGTGCCCCTTTGCGTCTGTATAGAAAGCCATTATACCCAAACTGGGGTATACACATTGTTTGCAGAATCAGTAGCACCCAGAGAGTCATGGGGACCTGCATTTGAAACCGGTTACACACACACACGCACACACGCACGCACACACAATACATGGCTACAAAATTGCATGAAATTGCATTTATATGGATTCTCCGTTCACCAGTGGTATTCCCGTACTGCGATGATGAATATCTCTTTCTAAGACTAGTTTGCTTCTTGGCATTTCCCTTTCCTAACTGGAGGCATTTTTCCAAGTGTGTTATGGCAGCTTGCTGTGGTGCAGGTGTGGATGTTGATGCGGTTACGTTTGCTCTTCACGCTGCACCCCAACCCCGCGGCGCAGCCTCAGGAGCTGAGAGGTTCTTGGAGGGAAGTGGCTCCCATTGTCTGGGACACTTGACCTCATCCACCCCAAGTCAAGTCGGGTGAGCTGTGTGCACCCTCCCCTTAGTGCCTGCTGACCCATTCTCCCAGACTTCTCAGGCTGAAGTGAACCTGCCAGCTACTTAGACCCAGGGCACTTACTGCTTCCAAGCTTAGCTTGAAGACTCATTAGCCACAGACAAGCCATGTTAAGCTTCTGTAAGAGGGCTTGATCGGCCCCATTATGTCTAGAAAAAGAAGGCTGATCATGCACCTGCTGCTTTCCGGGGCTTGTCACATGCCGTTCCAGACCCATCTGTTCTGTGTCTTCATACCAACTAAAATTTCAGGTCTGAGGTCTCCAGGCTTTATGATAGTTTCCCACAAAACGTGATGGACCCCTCCCTCTACCTCCACCCCACTCCCAGCTTGGAGCCCTGAGCCAGGCTTCTGCCACCCTTGGCTACAGTCATCTTCCTGGCTCCCACGGCAGCGGAGGACTCCTGTATCCTTGAACCCCCAAACAGATGCTCCCCAAAGTCCCCCAGCAGTGAGCTGCATTTTTTCCTTGAGCTTGCCTTACCCCTGACTCTGGACCAGGTGACATGGCAACGATTGCTGATAGAGAGTGAAGGATGATGCTCATTTCCAGACAAGTACAGTAACCCCACTTGCTCTGATGCCTTTCTAGTCAAAAGTTCATCTGTGTCTTATCTGCAGAGGAAGCTTCGTGGGTGAGCATGCAGGAACGCAAACTGTTCTCTTCGAGGAGCAGCTCTCCGTGAGAAGTGCAGTGAGAGGTTTCAGAGTTGCTTATCCTAAAGCTCCTAGTCTAAGCTGCTCTCTCTCTTGGGTAGGAAAGATGGTTTTGCATTCGCCCTTCTCGCAAGTTGACTCCCTGAGGAATCCAAAGCTGAGATAAAGGAGCACCCCTCAGTCGAACCTGCCTTCAGCCTCAGAAGAGGGCTGGTTACCCCTCAGAGAAACAGCCGCAGCGCGCCTGCGTGTGCGGATTCAGCAATCCCACGGGCTTTCGTTTTCGTTCCTTTTCAAAATGCCCTTTTGTTTTGCGGCTGATCCAGGTGCTGTTATTTCACGAGCAGGATTCTGGAATTCATTATGAATACACCGTTCCTGTAAACTACACTGCTGAAAATCAGAGTGAACCGGAAAAATCGCAGGACTCGCTGTTCATCTGGACCCACAGCGGCTGGGAAGGGTGCAGCGTGCAGTGCGGAGGAGGTGAGTGGCCATGGCCGTGGCCTGCTGGGTGTGGGCCTTTGCTGGAGAAGGGACAAAGGAGTCTGTGGCCAGCACACAGAGTGGGGAATCTGTAACCTGCAGTTCCACAGGAATTTAAGCCCTGCTGAAAATCTCTCTGCAGAATACTTGGGCAGAGTCTTCCCAGCTCCCACACTAGGGTCGTGCCCATGCTGCTGCTTCGCCCAGGGCCCAGGGACCCCCAGCTCTGACCTGTGGGTGAAGCAGGGTTTGGCTGACCTATGACTACGTCTCAGGTATGACAGACCCTGGGAGTAAACAGAATGCTGACTGTTGCCACTTGCTGGAGAGGCACCAGACCCTGTCTGCCTGCTCCCAGATTCCCTTCCATCTTTGCCACAGTAACCTCACTACAGGGTACCATCGAAAGAAAAAGGAGGTCAGGTGAAACATTCCGAGCGTGAGTTCTGACCGCACAGCTTCCTGCTCGACCTCAGCAAATGCCTTCCTCTCTCTACCCCGAATTCCCTCACCTCTAAAATAGGATGGTTGTCCCTCATGCCCACCGTAGGGTCCACAGCGTGAGCCCAAGAGCCTGTCGTACAGCAAGAATCAATATAAATGAAAGGCATTGTGTTTCTTGTTGTTGGACGGGGCGGCGGTAGGACGCCATTCAGAACTCTTAGCAGTTCCTTAGACAGTATTGTTTGTCACCCTAACAGGACACATAGCAGGGTTATGGGAGATGGAACACAGGGTGGGTGGATTTTAGTGGGCACAGAACTGGGATGGAAGGTTGACCTGGACTCTGGTATGCCAACCCTGAGAGTTGGATGATGGAGTGGAGCCCGGGGCATAGCCCCAGCCATCCCCAGTCCTGAGCACCTTCATTGGATGTCCAATACGTAAAGCATGGCTTACCATTTAAAGGACTCCTTCCGTCTTTCATGGGTAGGAGTTGTAGATACACAGTAATTTCTTCCTGGGCATCTTGGCCAACCGCTCTCACTGTCTGTGCTTAGCCTCTTCCCGCAGCAGCCCCGCAGCAGCTGGCATAGCCTCTGGATGCCACTGTCAGCCCTGCATCTTCCACTCTGCACCTCTCCCCGGGGCGGGCCTTCTGCCCCTGAACCCTTAGCTGCTGGTGGCTTTTCAACCTCCAAATCCAGCCAGCACCTCTACCTCTGATTCCAACCAGCTTTTCCTCTTGGACAACTTGTTGCGAACTAACCATAGTCCACGTGGAACAGTTCGCAGGCTTTCCTGGGCCAGGGGCAGGCTGCTCTGTTGCTGTTGGCTGAGTGGCAGGCCTTGAATGACACTGATGACTTCCAGCTTCCTAACAGTGGTCAGATCTGCCACCAAAGCTGGAAGCAGTTCTGTGCTTTCTGTACTCAGCCGAGGCTGCCATTCAGGGCAGCAGGAGCTGACGGTGGAGTGCAGGACTCCATGATTTTGAGTCATCCCTACATGACAAATTGCCCAGGGGACAGACCCAGCAGGGAGCCCAGGATCCAAACAGCTGTGCTTGAGTCCATCTTCTATTGTCACTGTTCCCAAATAATAATAGTGACAATAATAGAGCTAACATGAAGTGTTAGCCACATGCCAGGTTCTGTTCTATGGACACGCTATATATTTGTTTATTTTAATCATCCCTGAGGCACCCTCAGGCACAGGGAAGTTAAGCAAAGCAGGCCACTCAAGGACACTAAGACGCAGAAGCATGGTGGCCAGCTATCGACGCTGTGGTTACCTGATGCTCTTTGTGATAAAGCCAAGACTTGAACCCAGACACCCTGGCTCCACTGACCACCCTCCTCCCTCCCGGTCACTCAGCCTGCCTGACAAAGGCATGGCCATGCAGTATTTAGGGTGCTCTGGGAACACACAGAAGGGCCACCTCTAGTTGGGACATTGGAATAGCAAAGCTTCCTAAGAGCAGGTGGGGCTCAGCCGTAAGTACCAGCTGGCTAGACAAGTTCAGAAGGGCTGTGGCGTGCCTGTCTAGAGAATGCAGGTCTGCATGTCTTCCAGACAAGACTCCTTGTGCCCCCGTTGTCCCCAGCAAGCAGGAGTTTGGTAATATGTAGCCGGACTCTCTGCTGAGGGCTGATGTGCAGGTATTTAATGAGACCGGATCTCCAGAGACTTTAAATATTAAACAAGCAGATACAAAGATGAGCAATCTTTGGAAATGAAAGACCCAAATCTACGAACCCCAAGCTGTTCAAGGCACAGCTGATCTGAGGCGTTGCTGCATTCTGATCTTCTTCTAGCATCTTCCAGGGCCCCACTCTGCCTTCTGTGTCTTGCACCCTCCTCCTTAAAATTGCAGTTCTTCCTCTCTAAAAACCCACACGACATTTACAACAGTCGCTTTAAGTGACACAGTGACCAACAGCAGCACCCAAACCTTCCTTCACGAGTGTGCAAGCCCAGCCTTTCCAGGCAGGTACGACCTCAGCCTCTCAGCTCCCTTTGGTTTGGTTTCCAGGGGAACGCAGAACCATCGTCTCTTGCACCCGGATTGTCAACAAGACTACAACTCTGGTGAATGACAGTGACTGCCCTCAAGCAAGCCGCCCAGAGCCCCAAGTCCGAAGGTGCAACTTGCACCCCTGCCAGTCACGGTAAGGAGCTGGGTTCTGTAGCTGGGACCCACCAGGGACTGGGGCAGCAGCACCATCAGTGGCAGGGAGTGACACGCCATGAATGCCACAGTGCTGCTCTGTGCTGTGTTCTGTTATTGTTGATGAGTGATTTGTGCTTGCTTGAATTACCAAATTTCCAGCTACTGAGCCAGAACTCTGATGGAAATACAATCGTAGCTGGAAGGCAGTCTGTAGGAGACCATTAGTAACATCTCACGGCAAAAATAAAGGGCCTTCGCCACACACTTTTAACCAGTGCCCATTGGTTCCCCCAAATTCCTTTGTGTTGGTGGAGAAGGAAACAAATGTTGGAGTCTGAGAGCCCAGGAGAAAGTGCGCACACGGGCTGATGTTGCTGCCGATCTGTTCCAGTGGCTGAAATTCATGCCCATGAGTGTGGATCTTGGTGTTTAGTTCTTGCATCCATCCGAACTTCCATCCCAGCCCCAGCTTTCACGGCCATGTTACCCGCGTGAACTCTCTTGGGTTGTCAGCCGAGTTGAATTGTGTGAGATGGGTTCGTCATTTTAGTGGGACTCGGAGACTCTGTTGCGTTAAGTCACGCCACCCCTTGGCCTTCTGGTCTGCTCTGAATTGAGGTGAATGGTTTTTGCTCTGTAGTTCTGTGTATCATTTAAGGCATGCTGACCTTTTCTAACTAGGCTGGATGTTTAATATTTCAGTGTTTTAGGTTTCTTGACTCAGTTCGTGCCACGTGCCTAGTACAGGAGATTCACGTCTTTTGCACCAACCCCCTTCTTTTTGTCAGACCCTTAAAATGTGTTCGAGTGAGAAAGAGAGGAGGCAGGAAGGAAAAAAAAAGAAGCCGAGGCTTGTTTCAGTGATCTTCTGTGCTCCTTGCCAAATTGAGAATGAAACTCCACCCTAATCCTGCAGGCCTGGAGGAAGAGCTCACTGCAGGAAATCTGCTTGAGCACCCTCGGTGTGAGCAGCCGTACCACAAACCCAGCCATCAGTCCGTCAACCAGTCGCATGCATGGGCCACAGAAAGAAGGGCTTGCCGCTGTAAAGATTCAGCAGTCGACTGGGCTACAGCCTCTTCTCTGGAAACTAAAGATGGCCTGGCCCTGGCCAAGTGGCTAGAAAGCAGGATAAGAAATGATGGAGGAGGAGAGGTCAGCCTGAGTTCAAGGGCATGACGGAGCAAAAAGGTCTTAGGGTCCATTCCAGAAGCATATTTTAAAACCAGTTCTGTTTTCAAACTATTTTATACTCAAGTTTATATATATATAAAATTGCACTTTTAAGTTCTGGGGTACGTGTGAAGAACATGCAGGATTGTTGCATAGGTACATACACAGCAATGTGGTTTGCTGCCTCCATCCCCATCACCTGTATCTGGCATTTCTCGCCGTGTTACCCCTCCCCAACTCCCTATCCCCCCACAGTCCCTCCCCTAGCCACCCCTGCAGAGACTTCAGTATGTGATGATCCCCTCCCTGTGTCCATGTGTTCTCGTTGTTCAACACCCGCCTATGAGTGAGAACATGCGGCGTTTGATCTTCTGTTCTTGGGTCAGTTTGCTGAGAATGATGGTTTCCAGGTTCATCTGTGTCTCTACAAAGGACATGAACTCATCATTTTTTATAGCTGCATAGTATTCCATGTGTATATGTGCCACATTTTCCCTGTCCAGTCTATCATCGATGGACATTTGGGTTGGTTCCAAGTCTTTGCTATTGTAAACAGTGCCGCAATGAACATACGTGTGCATGTGTCTTTATAAAAGAACGACGTATGATCCTTTGGATATATACCCAGTAATGGGATTGCTGGGTCAAATAGAGTTTCTGTTTCTAGGTCCTTGAGGAATCGCCACACTGTCTTCCACAATGGTTGAACTAATTCACACTCCCACCAACAGTGTAAAAGTGTTCCTATTTCTCCACACCCTCTCCAGCATCTGTTGTCTCCAGATTTTTTAATGATCACCATTCTAACTGGCATGAGGTGGTATCTCAATGTAGTTTTGATTTGCATTTCTCTGATGACCAGTGATGATGAGCATTTTTTCGTATGTTTGTTGTCCTCATGTATGTCTTTTGAAAAATGTCTGCTCATATCCTTCGCCCACTTTTGAATGGGCTTGTTTGTTTTTTTCTTGTAGATCTGTTTTAGTTCTTTGTAGATTCTGGATATCAGCCCTTTGTCAGACGGGTAGACTGCAGATTTTTTTTTCCATTCTGTTGCTTGCTGGTTCACTCTAATGATTGTTTCTTTTGCTGTGCAGAAGCTGTGGAGTTTGATTAGGTCCCATTTGTCTATTTTGGCTTTTGTTGCCAATGCTTTTGGTGTTTCAGTCATGAAGTCCTTGCCTACGCCTATGTCCTGAATGGTTTTCCTAGGTTTTCTTCTAGGGTTTTTATGGTGTTAGGTCTTATGTTTATACCCAAGTCTTTTTAAAATTATGCACAGAAACCAAATAAAAGGAAACAGATGAAATGAGAGCTGCTGTGATTGAGCTGAGACACACATATGATGTGGCAGAGTCAGCCAGTCCACACTGACTGTTCCACCTCTCACGGTAGGCCGTGGCTCCCCTGTGGAACTCCAAGGAGAAGGTTTAAAAATCAAGGGTTCTACTTCCTGTAGTGATAGAGTAGCTTATATTGGACCAACCCTCCTGCAGATTATAATTATGAACTCTGGAGACAGTATAAAAAGCAACTGTTTAAAAGTTAGAAAGCAAGCCAGGCGAGGAGGCTCATGCCTGTAATCCCAGCACTTTGGGAGACCAAGGCAGGTGGATCACTTGAGGTCAGGAGTTTGAGACCAGCATGGCCAACATCTGGAAACCCCATCTCTACTAAAAATAGAAAAATTCACCAAGCATGGTGGTGTGCACCTGTAGTCCCAGCTACTTGGGAGGCTGAGGCAGGAGAATTGCTTGAACCTGGGATACGGAGGTTATAGTGAGCTGAGATTGTGCCACTGCACTCCAGCCTGGGTGACAGAGCCAGACTCCATCTCCAAAAAAATAAAGTCCAAATTACATATGCAGTTCCCATCTTTTATCGAACGGCACTTCTGTTCATTAATTTATCATTCACAGTGTTCCGGGTGCAATTCAACATTACTAGTTATACAGGGAAACAGATTCATACTCAGAAGAGAAGGCCACTGATGGAGACTGACTACAAGAGGACACATTTGTTGAAATTAGAAGTAAAGAATGTTAAAGCAGCTATTGTAACTTTGCTCAGAAACATAAGGAAAGCTATGCTCGTACTCACAGAACACACAGGAAATCTCATGAGAAAAAAAAGATACTGTATAAAGCAATTTTAGGACTAAAAAATACAATATCTGAAATTTTAAAAATTCACTGCATGGATCTAACAATGGAGTAAGATGATAAAAGATTAGTGAACTTACAGATAGAGGATTAGACATTATTCAGTCTAGAAAATGGGAAGAAAACATTATTGACAGTGAGCAAGACTCAGTTACCTGTGGTGCAGTATCAAGCATTCTAACATACAGGTAATTGGAGTCACAGAAGGAGAAGAGAGAGAAAATGGAGCAGAAAATAATCACTGAAGAAACAGTGATCAGAAATTTCCCGGATTTAGTGAAAGACAGCTGAGAAGTAATCGGGTCAAATCTTCACATTTCAACTAGATTCCAAAGTGCCATAACAAAGCCCTCTGGTCGTTAAAACAAGTGGGCCAGTCGTGATTTTACCTCCCATGTATCGTCTAAGAGGGAACCTTGCTGCACTGCAAAACGCAAACCAGAAAATCATGCAGGAAAGCACCTACAAAACAGTGGCATAAAACATGAATGCAAACTATACGGGAGTGCCACGGAGCTGTGCTAAGCCTGAGATAGATAACATCAAGTGTGTGTATCACTACAGAAATAGTCCTGCAGTCTTGCCACATTTGAGCCGAGTTCAAGCAAATACACTTCAGACTAAAAGCAACTTCAGAAGCACGTTCTTAGTATCTCCGTAGAACAGGGATTAGCAAACTTCATCTGTACAGGCCTAGAGAATAAATATATTTGCCTTCAAAGGCCACATGTGGTGTCTGGCACCGTTTTTTCTTTATTTTGAGCCTTAATCCTTTACAACATGTAAAATTTGTTCTTTGCTCTTGGGTTGTACAAAAATAACCCACAGGCCAGACTGAGCCCACGCACAAGAGTTTGCTGGCCTCTGTTTTGGGTTAACGCTTACTCTCGTTTTGCCCACTGAGATACCGGGACCACACCCTCAGCATGAGCCTGAGCTCGGCAGGTATTAGCTCAGGGAATATATATTTTTTGTTATACAAAGGAGGGCACATCAGGATACTGAATTTCTTTTTATTGTGTAACTTGATAAATACTTGGTTTCTGCCTCCCCACCACTTCTCTCTCCCACCTCCTTCCACTCCCTTCCTGACTGTAAAATCATGTGAATCAGACTTAAAGAATGAGTGGAATTACTTAGAGCAGAGAAGAAAATGAAGTTGAAAAACAAGAGAAAATCGCATCTAAAATCAGCCTTAGAGAGCCTAGACAGGAAGTGCCTGGATGCCTGCCCTAGGCTGGTTTTGTTTGCTAATTTGTTTATTTGTTTATTCTGAACCATCTGAGCTTGTACTTTTTCTTAAAGTGGATGTATGAGTGCCCTGACTCATCAGAGAGGATTGATTGTTTGGCTAAAGAAATGTGTGATCTGATAATAGATTTTAAAACTCCTGCACATCCTAACAAGGTAGATCTATGCACACATACGCATACATATATACATACACACACATAAATGTATCTTCCTACACAATATACATATATATGTGTTATGTACAGTAGTCCCTGCTTATGTGCAGTTTCACTTTCTGTGGTTTCAGTTACCCGTGGTCAACCATTGCCCAAAAATATTAAAAGGGAAATTTCAGGAATAGTTCATCGGTTTCGAGTTGCTCACTGTTCTGAGTGGTGTAATGAAATCTCGCACCGTCCCGCTCCGTCCT